AATATTTCAATTTTTTCTACATTTTTCTGGAAAAGATTCGGTTTTTTTTTTTAATTTGCGTGGGAGCGGGAAGCCCTCTCTCTCTGTCTCTTGAAATTGCCCGAGCTGACGCCCTCCCTTCTGTGCTGCCAGGGACTCGATCCAGCTCGTGTGCGACACGATGAAGCGCCAGATCATCTCCCGGGCGTTCTACGGCTGGCTGGCCTACTGCCGCCACCTGCGCACCGTGCGCACCCACCTGTCGGGGCTCGTGTCGCCGTGCATCGTGTCGGCCGACGAGCCCAACGACGCGCGCGCGGGCGTCACGCCCGAGCGCTGGGCGCAGCTCGACTGCCGCGAGGAGCTCTTACGGCTCGCCTACTTCGGCGGCGTGTGCCACGACATCCGCAAGCAGGTATGTTGTGCGGCTGTTGTGGTGCTGGCTTGTCCCGCCCACAGTTTTCATCGCAAGACGACCCCCTGACTCACTGCCTCGCCTCCCTCGCCTCGTAGGTCTGGCCGTACCTCCTCGGCCACTACGTGTTCGGCTCGACGGCGGACGACCGGCGGACCCTGGACGCCACCACGCGGCAGAGCTACGAGACGACCATGTCCGAGTGGCTGGCGGTGGAGGCCATCGTGCGCCAGCGTGACAAGGAGACCATGGCCGCCAACTTGGCCAAGTTGAGTTCCGAGAGCACCTCGGGCGAGGCGCCGCCCCCGACGCCGAACCTGCAGCACGACCTCAGCAACGACGTAAGTTCCAAGACGCCGGCCGTGCAGCAGCCGTGGTAGGCGCAACCAGCGTAGAAACCGACAGCTCACTCTACCCTTCCGGCAGGTCTTCGAGGACAACGTCAGCCTCTCGGACGACGACAACGACCCCGTGGTGGTGGACGGCGAGGAGGCCGCTGGGCAAAACGACTCGCAGGACACTTCCGGTAGGTCAACCTTCCGACCACTAAGTTGAATCGACGTTGCGTTGCACCTCAGGCCAAGCCCCTGCGGTACTCGGGGTAGGCCACGCGCTCGCCACGCGTGCGCAGCGGTCGGCCTATCCCCTGACCCGCAGGCGCCCCGGCGCACGGCGCAGGGTCAGAGTGAGCAGCAGTGAGCAGCGCCGCCCGCCGACGACGGCCAATATTTCTTTCCTTCCTTTTTTACAGACGCCCCTGATAGCCTCGCGACGGCGGCCGCCGCGGCAGCGACTGTGGCAGCTGCCCCGACTGGCGCGGAGGTGTCGTCCTCGGCCGCTGTGGCCGCGGCCGCCGCGGGGGCGGTGGCAGTGTCGGTGGCGCCGCCCGCCTCTGCCGAGGGGGAGACGGAGGTGTGTTTCTATCTATACTGTCCAGGTCGTTTTGGTCGCGGACTGTGACTGACAGCTTCTCTCCTTCCCCCTCCAAGGACGTGGATCAGCCCGAGGCTGAGGAGTCCGCTGGCGTGGAAACCTCTTCGCCCACAGCTGAAAGCGGCGAGCCGGAGACGGCTGAGGAGTCCGTGGAGCAGGCTGCTGCTGCTCCGGAGCAGGCGGAGGCCGAGGCCGTGGTCCCCGCTGAGCAGTCAGCTGATCCAGCGGCGCCTGCGGCAGCGGGAGAGGGTCAGCAGGCTGAGCAGCAGGTGGAGCAGCAGGCAGAGCAGCAGATGGAGCAGCAGGCAGAGGCCGCGGAGGACCTGACGGAGGCCGCCAACCTCGCGGCCGAGGCCCAGGACTTGGCCGAGGCGCCGCTCATCAACTATGCGGCCGCCAAGATCGTCATGACAAAGCCCTCCGTGGACGCCTTCCCCGAGGCCGAGAGGACGGAAGACACGACCAACAAACTGGCGGGGACGAGCCAGGGCAATCGGTCCAACTGCGTGTCTCCCGCGTCCAGCCAGGGAGGCGTATACTCGGTAGGTTTACCGTCAAATTAACTTTCCCTATTTGGTTTCGTGACTGCACGAAGTGTTGATTGCGGACCTATTCTTTGCAGACGGAGCTGCTCGAAACCTTCGGCCTCAACATCCACCGCATCGACAAGGACGTGCAGCGGTGCGACCGAAACTACTGGTACTTTACGACTGACAACCTCGAAAAGCTCCGGAACGTTATGTGCACCTACGTGTGGGAGCACCTCGACATCGGGTACATGCAGGGTATGTGCGACCTCGTGGCGCCACTACTCGTCATTCTGGACGACGAGTCCTGCACGTACGCTTGCTTCTGCCGCCTCATGGACCGCATGGGAGCCAACTTCCCCAACGGTGGTGCCATGGATACACACTTCGCCAATATGAGGTGACAATTATTTACCTTGTCATTGACTGTATTTGCTCTTCAGGGAGTTTTTAAAATTATTTATTCTTCCCGCTGTCGCAGATCTCTCATACAGATTCTCGATTCAGAAATGTTTGAGTTGATGCATCAGAACGGTGACTACACCCACTTTTACTTCTGTTACCGATGGTTCCTTCTGGACTTTAAGAGAGGTGAGTCGTCCAAGTCTGAAAGGCGTGCGCACCCGATCTAAGTGGCAAGCGGGAAGTCCGCTCTGCTGCTGAGAATTTGTCAACAACGTGGTCCTGGCTAACTTTCCCAACTCCTGGTTGCTCACCCCTCTGTGTACGCCGCTTTCCAGAGCTGCTGTACGACGACGTTTTTAGCACCTGGGAAACCATCTGGGCCGCCCAGCACGTCGCCTCCTCCAACTTTGTTCTCTTCATTGCCCTCGCCCTGGTTCAGACATACCGGGACATCATCCTATCCAACTCCATGGATTTCACCGATATAATCAAATTTTTCAATGGTAAGTGCCTTGTCGTCTGATTTCCCTCCTGTTTTATTTTTCACAAAATAGCAGCGGGTCTAAAAGAAGGTGAAATTCTTGTCTTAGAAATGGCGGAGCGGCACGACGCCAAGGCCGTTCTTGCACTCGCCAGAGATTTGGTGCTTCAGCTTCAAACTTTGATCGAAAATAAGTGAAGGGCGTCGAGTCAAATACTGGTTTTCTTCTGAGCATCTTCTGCAAAATATTTGTGTTTGTTGTCTTTGATGGTTTGTTTGGGTCGAATCTTTGACTACTCTTCAGTGTGGTTTGTCAGTCTTCAACCATGTTCCAAATCGATAAATGCTCCTGTTGCACCAAGTTTGTCCCCATATTTGGTCCTTCTCAAATACACCATTCCTCTTGTCTTGACATTTTAAAACTAACAATGTCTTGTGACAAAGGTGCTTGTACATTGTTTGTAAGTACAATTGTGGAGACTGGATATTGCGTGTTCAAATATACCGATTCCTGCTGGCAGGAAACCTGGTATATCACGCTTGAATTTATGTATCTTTTTATTTGATCAGCGGAAGGTCGTTTAAGCAGTGATGTAGAAATAATTCGAGTTTGTATTACAAGAATGCAATGCGGTCGTTTTCTTGTAACACATTTTATTTACTCTGTTGGTTGACTTTAAAAATAGCTAGATTTTTTGCTTGAAATTGCGCTCTTCATTCAAAAATTAATTATAAAAACATTACTTTGCAAAATTTTGAATGTATAGCCCTTTGTTTGCTATTTTTATGTGAGTATGAATTGTTTACATTCCGTCGAGATACAGACCAGGAGGTTCGTGGGGCGTATAACGAACGCCTCGTCCCGTAGGACACACGATCCCTGGTAGGACGAGGACCTGTCTGCCCGTGTGGCCGTAGGGGGCCGCGCGGTGCGAGAGGTTTGCCTACCTAACGGGTTGTCTGCGAACCCAACTGTCCTTCAAAAACACGCCTCTGTAAGCTCCCGAAGTATTTTTAACTCGGTCAAAAATCACCCTGCATAAAACTTTTGGGTGACCGGATTCAAAGTATAATTTCCTGGTCAAGTACTTCTCGTGACCAAAACGTTTTTGACCCTATTTTCTTCATGTTATGGTTGATTACTTTCGTGTACCTTGAGTTGTGATGATACTTTATTATTACCTTAATTGAATTATTTTTGATACTACTCTGTATCTATTTTCCTTTTATATTTTATTTTATTTTTATGATCTTTGTTGTAGTTTGTTAATTGTTGTCTTGTTTGTTTGTGGTTGTGGGCATGCCTTGAGTTTCGTGCACTCTGCTATATATCAATTTAAAATTGTTGTTCCTCTCTCTCTTACAATTTTAAACATAATTCTATAAAGATATTCCCATACATATATTTCTTCAAGCCACTAAGAGTTTTTCAACACTATTTTTTACAAAAGTGTTACGAAAATTTCATGTTACTGACCGTGACATTGTACATACGTACATAATTATTCTTTGTCAACTTTCTTTATTTTTTGACTCGATTTGATGTTTGTATGCCAAACTAGTCAATTAGTCAGATAGTCTGTAAGGAAACTCTGTGATTATGTAAATATATTTCTCATGAAACTGCTGTGTGTACAGACGTTTGTTTTATGGGCAGGAATCTTTTAGAGTTTCCTAATACGTGTGAATGTTTTATTTTTCCATTGTTTTAGCTTTGTGTGCCAATGAGTATGTGTTAATTGATTATAAATAAACCCTTATATTTGAATTTTGACAAATTCACAGAGCAGTAAGAGATTATATTTTCCTCTAAGTTGATCCGTAGATTCTGGTACCTTCAAGAAAGGTCGTGTCAGGTTTAGTGATTTGGCTCAAAAGTGTGGCAACTCAAATAGTTTACCATTAACTTTTGCTACAACCTCATAAGCAGTCAAGTTAAGGGGTAGCAAAAATTCCTATTCTTGGAAAACTTGGAATTGCATCAATTTAGTACGTTGATTCGTTTTTTTTTGACATAGCCAATTATTTAGAAGTAGTCACTCCCTTTGTGTTTATGGTAACAGATTGTAGTGCCATGCAAACCAGGCAACTGACGGGGTGCAATATCCCTTCAAACATTTTGCTGGGTATATTTTCCATTGAGATTCTCATGCCACAAATCTTATTGGAACTGTTTCCGAACTTTATAATTGGTCTCAATACAATTTTATGAACGAAGTGGAATTATGCTTCCACATATTGTGCCCTGTTTGTAAAACTGGGTCGGCGTTAGTTATGTGTCAATCCAATTACTGAGAATTTCTAGTCCAAATATATAAGTCGTTCTTGAATGCATCTCACTATCTTCATTGTATACTATAGCTTTTATCGCCTTTTTGTCCAGTATTGTATGCATTAATGAATACATCACCTACTACTTATATTAAGATGACTGATACTAAAATTACATTATCCTTTGTACATAACGAACCGTGGACATTTGCATTTTTCACTTGCGTTTGTTGATATGTTAACTCAGATTTTTTTTTCATCCAACTAGTTTGAAGTAAAGAAGAAATTAGATATTTAGACGAACATGTAATATGTGAGAATTTTAATCCGCTGCAATTCGCTGGTTACTTCTTACTTCAACTTACACCCATGAGGCAAAAACCTACAAAACTCATAGAACAATTTCGATTAAGTCACAGACGTTTGTGTGTAAAATTTTATTCTGTGTACCAAGAATGAGCGTGAACTTACAATTAGTTATGGTGCGCCTTGTTCATCTTCTTTGAAGACTAATAAACCATATCTCGTTATTTTCTATTTACTTCTGTCTTATTCCTGATGGGTTTTGGTTTTGAACTTGATTCTGCTAACTTGTCATTGAAGTTGTATCTGGAGTAAAATCACCAGCTGCGTCGTGCTGACCGATATCATCTGCAATGCGGAAAACCGGGTTGAAATTCAGCTCAATTTCTTATTACGCTTTATTTTTCATTTTTTTTTTTGCAGTATGAAAACGCACCGCCTGAATAGTTCTTCGGTCTAAGGGTACGCAGCTCATTGCTTCACACCGTACAGCAAGGTGCGCTACCTGTAACCTCAGCACCTGCAGCTGCAGCAGACGTAAGTGGTTTTAAAGTTAATTTAAACAAAAAGGAGAGGGAGAATCAACGTCAAAATACACCATGAGAGAAGGGACACGTGCGGTGCGGCTGCGATACACCTCTGGTCTGGTACAGGTGCGATACACGTGCGGTGCGGGTGCGATACACCTCTGGGGCGGGTGCGATACATCTCTGGTGCGGGTGCGATTCACTTCTGGTGCGGGGTGCGATACACCTCCTCTGGTGCGGGTGCGATACACCTCTGGTGCGGGTGCGATCCACGTTTGGTGCGGGTGGGATACACCTTTGGTGCGCCACACGTGCGGCACACGTGTCGTGCCGCGGGGCCGTTTGCGGCCGGCGCGCACGCAACACGGACCTCTTTATAGGCGCGCTCCGATAGGCCGGGCGAGTTGAGCGTGTCGTGGATAATCTCCAGCAACTTGTCCGACTGGAACAACAATCACACGTTATGGCCGTGCGCGTCTCCAGCGAGCCGTGCCTCCAGCAGCGGAGCAGCCAGCTAAACACGCGTAACTTTTTACTAGAAAACTACTTTTTACTAAATAACGTTTTACACGTACCGTAATTACGAGTACCCTTACTGTAATACTATCGGAAAGACGTTTTGTGGTGCTAAGAAACCGTTCTGTAATACTAAAGATTTTTTGATGATGTACAACAGCACAATACTTGAGTAGTTTAGGCAAATTTTCTTCTAGTAAATAGTTGAGGAAAAGTCTTTCACAATCTCCCTCCCCTCCCCTTTTCTACTTCTTCCTTTCTCCCTCTCCCCCTCCCCCCCTTTTTCCCCTTTCCTCCCTTACCTCACGTTGCGCCTCGTGGCAGGACGACAGGGTGATGCAGATCTCCAATACGGCCAGCAAGGGCCACACGGGGTTGACCACGGTGCTGGCGTTGCGGGCCGCGAAGTTGAACACGTTGTAGAATTCGCAGATGGACTCGATCGTCACCGCGGCCACTGCCACTGCCACCTGAGAGAGAGAGAGAGAGAGAGAGAGAGAGAGAGAGAGAGAGAGAGAGGGAAAGAGGGAAAGAGGCATAAGGAGTAAAGACGAGAGAAAAGCGAGCAGTACGTTAGATGTAAACACTTCGTATGTCTTTGGCCTCTGCGGTTCACATACACAGTCCGCACCCCAGCCCCAGCCCCTTCACCGCCGCACCATCATGCTCCACCGGGCCTCCAAAGGCACCCCCGCCCTTACTCATCTCCCTCTCTCTCTCTCTCTCACCCCCTCTCTCTCTCCCTCTCTCTCTCTCTCTCTCTCTCTCTCTCTCTCTCTCTCTCCCCCTCTCGCTCCCTTTAGCTCCCTCTATTCCCCCTCCAGCCGGTGGCCATACGCTCCGCGCTCTAGAGGTAGAGTGCGACTTCCTGTTTTCCGCGAAAACAAAATAGCGGACGCGGTGCTGGTGCGTGCGAGTGATCCCGCCCTGCCCGGCTAGGCGTGGCGTGGCGCGGTGCACTGAGGCGGACTCCACTTCGACAAAGCTTTGTGTCGCTTCTTTTCGTTCTCAACAAGTTACGAGCAGGGTCTTGTTCTTCTTGGCACCCGGTGCGAAAAAGGGGGAAGCAGGGGAGAAGTGGGGAGGGTCCGCCTGCTCCTTATGGCCTCGGGGTCGAGGTGGCAGGGCGGGAAATAAAAAATAAAAAGGTCCTGTTACCTGGAGGAAGGTGGAGTCGGCCGCGGCGCGCACCGTGTCTGAGATGTCCATGTGGCGCCGACGGAGCCGACGCCACAGATCCGTCTTCCAGTTCTCCTGCGAAAAGCGGAACATACGTCGATCTGTTACACTGAGCCGCTGCTGCCCCGGGGGTGGGCGGCGGGGCGGTCCGGAGCCAGTCGGGCGAGGATCGGGGAGGGGGTTTGGGAAGGTGGTGCAGGATCAGCGGGGAGCACTCCGGGAAATGGTAGTTCGTCAAGTCTCATATCCAGCCGTCTGTCTTAGTTACTCGCAGCAGCGGCGGCGCAGGCCGTAAGTGATGTGAAGCATCGGTTCAACACCGGCGTGCTGTGTACCACGCCCTACACCGCACGGCACGTATCGTCCAAACGGGCCAACGGCA